CCCCCCCCCCCCCCCTTACCAGAAGAAGAGTCTGAACTCCTTACTGATGCTGGTAAGAGCATGATCCCAATCCAACCCTCCTCCCGGGCTGGTCTCTTAGCTTACTTCTCCCGCCTCCCCTTTCTGTGCTTTGGCTGTAACAGCAACGACCGACATTTCCAGCTCTCATTGTGTACCGGATGCTATTTTAAGCACTTGACATGTATTAACTCATTTGATCATCTTAATCATACCACAAGGTAAGTATTATAATCCCCATTTTTCAGATGAGACCATGAAAAGTTAAGTAACTTGTCCCAGATCACAAAGCTATGACAATTCTATCTTCCATGATGAATTACTTCAACTCTTCAAGGGGCTCACATGCTTTCTCCTCTCTGGGTCTTGGAGTGTGCTTTTCCATCCATCTTGATATCTGCCTTCCTTCCTCTTTTGCTCCCTCCTACCCTTTCCCTAGCTAACTAATCTTTTAGGTCTCAGCTTAATCATCTCCTCCAAGAAGGTGTCCCTATATTCCATAGGGGAAATTTAGGTCCCTTTGATATTTGCTCCTTCTGCCTGTATTCCTCCACCATAGGGATAGGGTCCTTAGCTCACCGAGTTATAATCATCCTGATTACTTGTCCATCTTCCTACCTAGATTCTGAGTTCCTTGAAGTCAAATTTACATGTGGCTTCTTCATTCCTCTCCCCAAGGCTAACCCAGGGCCAGTATGAAGTGGGAACTAGTTAAGCATTTGTTGAGTGAATGGATGAGCTGTCACTTGGATGCATGCACACTCAGACATAGGCCTGTAAGTGTGTGAAATAACTGCCCAGGTCTCCTCTGAGAGTTCTGCCCCCAGGGTGCTAGTCAGGAGGAAAAGTCCCCATGTTGCCTGTGCATGGAAGTCTCTGAGGGATGTCCCTTGTGCCAGTGTGGCCCCTGCCCTTCCACCAGCACCCTGGACTCTCACCCTGATAATGGATCCTGAAGCCACCGCCCCTTGGGACTCGAGGACTCTGGAAGTGCAGGAGCAGCCGGTTGGTTGGACTCCGAAGGACCTGTCCTTCTCCCAGCATGGAGGAGTTGGCCAGCAGTCGGGGGGCCAGGCCTGGGGCTCCCCCACCAGCCAGCACCAAGAGTTCCTCCTCCCGAGACAGGTTCAACGTCTGCACCTACAGAAGCCAGACCCAGACTCACCAGGGTAAGTCAACCCGGCTGGAAAATCCCAGAATCCCCCATCACCACCACCCTTGCTTTCCTTTTCCCTGCATGTGGCAGCCCAAACACCACGGTGACAGTGGCCAAGTTGTAGAACTCCAGGTGTCTTCCTGACCATCAGAAGGCAGGCCCATTTGTGTTAGGAAACAGGTTCTCTGGCTCTTAGGTCAAATCTGTGCACAGCCTAGGACCCAGAGGAGAGGGCTTGGAGGTTTCAGGATTATATGCTACGTCCACTTACCTGGATCTCAATGCCGTAGCCCGGGTAGACATGGATGCTGTATGTGCAGTCCAGGAGTCCCAAGGTGCGGCTGGTGCTGCTTCCTAAATCTGGAGACTCAATATGCCCTTCACCTTCGGAGATGTTGTTATTACACAAAACTAAAAAGATATATAAGTGGCTGGAGTCAAACAAATCCCTGTGTTCTTGCTCTCCCAGTCATGCAACTCTGGGGGCCCTCATCTCTCTTCTCCCCCACACCCCTCGTCATCTTTATCCAAAGCTCCTCTCCCCCGTGCCCAGAATCCCCTTCCCCCAACTGTAACATGGATAAAACATAGGAAGGTACATAGTATGGGTGCATATCATTAAGCAGAAACTCTCCTATCTGTACCAGATCCCTCCTTGCACCCCTTCCCTGCAGTGTCTCTCCTATTCACATCCTGCTCCTCCTGAACACTACTCCATTCCCTTTCAGTCGCCTCACCTGGGCTCGTCACCGTGGTGGTGACAGTTGTTGTGGTGATGATGGTGGTCGTCGTCTCCTCCTCTCCTCCCTCAGGCCCAAGGGGCGGGCCTGGGGAGGTGGGGCCAGAAAGGGGTGGGGCTGTAGTTCCTGGGGGCGGGGTCAGCAGCTCGGGCGCGGTGGGGCCTGCCCCCCTACCCTCCTTAGGGGTGACGGCTGTTGTCAGAGGCCCTGTCCCTGGCTCAGTGGCCCGTGGCAGGGAGGGTGCTGCAAGAGTCTGGCCGGCTGGAGGGGTGGCTAGCGTGGGGTCCGGATCAGATCCTGGGACAGTGCAAGGGAAGTCAGGGCACAGGAAGAGCAAATTGGTGGGTCTTGAGGGGGGCACAGGGCTGAGGGAAACTGGGGGTTCCCCACTGAACCCAAAAGACCTCCCCCACAAGGTGCAGACCCTCCACGTCTATTTTCCCCACCCCAATTCCTCACCTCCTCCCAAGGCTTCTACAGCCTGACATCCTCTCCCCTTTCTCTTCTGCTGTTCACCTCTGGACCAGGTCCTTCCACTCTGATGGTCTCCTTGAGCCTCTCTGCCTCCCCGTTCAGATCTGGTTCCTCTCCTAGCTACCGCTTTCTCTTTCCTCTGTCTTGCTCTCTCTGGAACTCTTTTTATTTCTCTGATTAGTATTCTTATCACTCTCCGATTTTATGATTCTAGGTTTACTAATCTCTGCATTTCTCTCTCTCTTTTTGTGTCTTTCTCCCACCATTTTTCTGAGTCTGGTTCTCTGATTTTTCCATCTGTCTTTTTCTCTGATTATCTGTTTTTCTATCTCTTGACCATTCTATTTCTCTGTCTTTGCTCGGTCTTGATTCTCTCTAACCATCACCCTCTATCTCCCTCTGAATTTTAATGGCCTGGTTCCCCAATTCCTTGAGTGACTGTCTCTCCCTCTGCCTCTGTGCTACTCTTCCCACTCTGGGAGCCTCACCTGGCAGGTAGCCCATCTCTGGGCCCCTCCTCAACAGGGCCCCATGGAGCAGCTCAGCCAAGGCCTCGGAGGCTACCGTGGGGGTCTCGCTTCCAGGCTCCAGCAGTGCCTCCTCCTCTTTCACGGGCAGACCTAAGAGATGAAGCTGTATGAGCCCTTCCACTGCCCCACACTCCCCATTCACCAGAAAGATCTTTTCCGGAGTATTCCTCCCTCCTCTGCTGGGCCTGTAGGAGCTCACAGGGTCCCAGGCTGAGCTGAGAGCTAAGATGGAAGGAGAGGCTCCCAGCTGCCCCTCACAATCTTCCACCTTCTTCTCCACATTTCCCCCCAGGCGGTGTGGGCCTTCAGTGAGCACCTTGGCTCCAATGAACCCTGACATGCCAGCAGGGTGGAGAAGGGGGGATGGTGCTGCCTTCATTTTCACCTCAGTGGTCTCCTGGTTTCCTGGTCTGACAGCACCTCCCAGCCCTTGCTTCTGCAGTACCCAGCTTTCTCTCTGGATTTCTATCTCTGCAGTCTGGTGTACGTTCTCTCTCCCTCTCTCTTTCTCCCTCTCTCTCTCTCTCTCGCTCTCTCTCCTTTCTCATTTCTCTGTGGTCTCTCCCGGGTCTCGCTGAGGGGCAGAGTCGGGGACTGAATATCTGGTCTCTGAGCAGTGCCTTTGCTCATCTGTCTTTGTCCATACATCCAAGAGGTTTGAATCCCTCTCTCTCTCTCTCTCGCTCTCTCTCCTTTCTCATTTCTCTGTGGTCTCTCCCGGGTCTCGCTGAGGGGCAGAGTCGGGGACTGAATATCTGGTCTCTGAGCAGTGCCTTTGCTCATCTGTCTTTGTCCATACATCCAAGAACAGTTGTGTGTGCAGTGCCTGGCATCCCTCCCAGCATCTCCATCTCCTACTCAGGTACTCTGCGTGTTCTGCCGCCTCCACAGACATCCCCCCAACTTTCCCAGCCCTCCTTCCCGTATGTAACCCTTGAGATGCTGCTAAAAGCTACGCTAGCTCATTCCCCCACCTCTTCTACAGTGGGGTCAGCGGCTCCAGGTACAAACTGGAAAGCCCTGGCTAGTCGCTTTCCATCAGCTGTGCCCCTCCCCTGCCTCCGCTTTGGAGACCAGGGTGTTCGAGAAAGGAGGGTAAAGGGCCCCCCTGGGGGCTTTCATGGGCCCACCCCCACGATCCCATGTCCTTACCCTGAATCCAGGGGCAGCTCAGCAGAATTAGGAACAGCAGCTGGGGAGGCGGTTGATGCTGGGCCTTGGGAGTCCCCATGGCGACTCACACTGATTTCTCGTCTCTGCGCCTCTCTTAAATAATCTAGCTGTCACCTTTCTTCTGTCTCTATCTTCCCCTTTATTATTTTTCTTCCTGGCAGTTAGCAAGGAAGACAATTTCTCTACCCCTTGGGATGGAGGGGCAGAATTGGGCTGGGGGGTCGCCGGGAGCCCAACCCTCTTTGCCCAATCTCCTCTGTTCTCTGCTCCGGGATCTGAGGGAGAGGGGGCGCGGCTCCAGCTGCAGGGGGTGGAGCCGAGAGGGCCGAAGGACCGGGCCTCCTGGGTTACCCTCCCGTCGGGCGCCTGGGTCCACCAGGCTGGCTGGATCCCAAGGTGTGATCCAGCTGGGAAAAAGCAAGACAGCTTGTGAGGGGCCTGGGGTGGGGTCGGGGATCTACTGGGCTCTAGAGGGGCTTGGCGGGGAGCAGAGGGGGCTGCGGAACCTAGAGAGCCCGAGCTCGGGCACTAGAGCTGCGGAGGGAGAAGCTGAGAAAGGTGTCGAGTCCACGTCAGATCCTGGGGACGGGCGAAGGGAGGGGCCTGAGATTTATTGGGGGGCGGGAGGGAGGAGGAAGTGCAGATGGAGGAAGGAGGGACCATAGGAGCCAGGACCGTAATCCTCACTCCCGCGGCCCCCAGGGGAGGCAAGGCAAACTCTCTGGCCCCAGCAGTAATTACGGACCCCTCTCCCTGTTACAGCAACATCTGGACTCTGAATCTCCTCTTCCCAGGCTGCCGAGGCTCCCAATATGCCCCCAACCCTTATCCAGACCCTCACCCCATGGACTCCCCTTCCTTTCTACAGAAGCTCCTGTGCAATGGCTTTCCCCGCCCTCCCCCGGGAGAATGGCAAGTTTCCCCACTTGTGAGAAGCCCAAGGGGTAACCAGGCTGGCTTTTGGAGAGGAGAGACCCCTCATCTTACCAGACAACCTACAACCTGAGCCCGGCCAGCCGGCACGGGCTTTAACTTTTTTATTTCTGGCCTCTCACACAACGCCTCCGACGCGTTTGTTCAGCACCACCAGCGCGCGGACAGCTCTCCCGGCCG